GATTGGATTTCCATGTACCAGTCTAAACCAGTGTGACTAAAGCAGAGCTCAGTCTGAAAACTAAGCTCTCCATATTCAAGTCGATCTTTATCCCCATACTTACCTACGGTCGTGAATCGTGGACCATCACTGTAAAACTTCGAACCCGGGTACAAGCTGCTGAAATGGGCTTTCTTAGACGAGTCTCTGGCTTTACGCGTCTCGACATGGTCCTTAACAGTGACATCCGGAAGAGCCTGGGAAAGCAGCCTTTGCTTCTCCAGACTGAGAAGTCACAGTCCACTGCGATGGCTTGGATATGTGTTGCGAATGCCTCCAGAAAGGAAGGCTAGGCAACTGTTCCTTGCAAATCTGACCGGCAAAAGGCCCAAGGGACGGCCAAGATTAACCTGGTGCAAATATATGGAAGGAGTCTGTTCCAGCTTCCATTTGTCTTCTGCCGAAGCTGAGACTCTGGCACAGGATGGGGTACGTTGAAAGGCCTCTCTGACGTGTCTGCCTCCGCGACCCAGAAGGAGATGCGGCGATGGAAGATGATGATGAAGAAGATGAAGAATTTAGTCTTAGCGGAAATGGCCGCTAACGTTCAACATTGATTATATGGCGACGGCAGTAATAAATTTTTGCTATCTGTGGGCCTGTGACTGAAATATTTATTCCATATTCTTTTGCTGTTGTTCTCATCTTCGTTTAAGTGAGACAGACTTGTAGTCGTAGTTTGACCTAAATTTATATGTGACTGTTAGGAGAGGTGTCTCAGATTGATGTTAGGTACTGTTTCCTAAAGGAGTATTCATTGTTTCGAGCAAGTCTGCATCAGCGAAATGTTTTGAATTGTATGAATTGTCCTCCAACGCATTGTGAAACTTATAATTCGACAAATTTTTCTTAATATGCCGAAAATAGTGTTCCTGTTTGTGTCTTCAAAAGGTTTCTCTGCATATAACTTTTGTTCTGCAAAATTCTGACCTTTTGGATTGTGCCAGATAAATCTTCGGGGGGGGGGCAGTATACTGTGACTGATACAAAACCATGACAGTAATGTCAGAGGCAGTATTTGTTGTATCATTGTATGTAAAATCATAGAGAGCGAAAACATGGAAGAACGAAAGTAGACACAATTAAGTTATCGAGCTACGTGCTTTTTCCTTTTGGGTACAGAAATGTTTGATCTTGTTTCAGATGAGCTGATTAGTGGTTCATTGCTAAAATAGATCTGGAGGAAGGTATCGATTCATTGCTGCTCCACCGAAATTGTTTAGATAGCTGACTTTTAGTCGGCTATCAGATGAACAAAATCAAATTGCAGCTGTACGACGCATGCATCAGGCTGCCCTAAGCCTGATATGACACACTACATGATCACGCAAGAACTTCATTCTGTTTCCTGTCAATATTATTCACCCGTTAATGACTTACTACCCGTTTATTTGCTTGGCTGCGTTAGACCACGCTGTAATGAATCCTTGCTCAAAAGAACTATTAGTTAATATGATAATTTGACCACGTTTGGACGGACTCCGCGCCTCTAACTTGCAGGGCGAAACTACTATGCACTGCACTGCTTGTATAACTATCGTGATAAATAGCAATTTATTTTGTAAATTCTCTAAGATAATTTGGACACGCCCAAACGTTTCTATAGAATTTCCTTCCATGCAAGATATGACAGTTATGTTCTCAACGTATGGCATGTGCGACATTATGAATGTCATCATTTTTGCTTTATCCTTTATGTTTGCCATTTTTGATTTGTCTCCAGTGTTGTTCTCTGGTCAGTTTACACGACAAGACTTACACGATTAGATGATCAGCGGCAAACGTAGAACAGTGCATCAATAGTTCTGTGCGAAAGGCGGCCAATAAGTTCATTACTGTTTTACTGGTTTCCGCTTTTGTTTTCGTCTTGATTATTAGCAGTTTCTTAGGTTTATTGAGCTCCCTGACAGTGTCATAATGCAAGTTGCCCTTGATTATAAGCCGTCGTTTTTCAAGGTCGACATAATACACTTGCGATGGTTTGTGCATGCGGTCACGACAAAAAACGGGAGACTTACATTCCAGGCTTTTCATAAAACCACATGACAGGCAGCCAAATTCATACCTACTGCCAGATGGTTAGAGTATATGGAACACTTGACATTATCGTATCTTCGAACGCAACCTGTGCAACTTGTTGATTGATGATGAACCGGGATTTTTGTGAGAGCTTCTTCAACTTACTCCCCCATACAGCCTGAAGGAGCTATATCGAACCATGAAAATGAAGGAATTCAGTAACGTGCGATCATAAACAGAATGTCCAGAAACGATGTTTTGCGGGCTTTCGCGAATGTTGGGTTTATTCTGATTAACGGCGCAGATATGCCTTTCGCACTTGCATTATGTGAAGCGTTTTGGTATGTTTTTTGTCGTCGTCAATGTTTATTTTAGGGTAGACTGACGACATTCGAACGCTCGGATCACACCCCGAACATTGTAATTGTTGCGCACTATGATGCATTTGGACTTGCACCCGTAAGTGCTTCTTCTGTTCATTCATGTTCGTTTTCTGCTTCTGCCATTATTGCTCACAGTTTCTAGAATCCTGCTTTGTCACCGCCGTATAAAATTCGATTGTTAACAACAGATTTGTTTCTAACATAAGATTTATCAACAGCGGCAAATGATGCCCATGTTACAAAAAAAGTAGGAAGAACTCTGTATTATATAAAGTCGCAGGGCGGCAACAATTTTATGGGTTTTCTTTTAACTATATAGTTAACCAACCAGATGTACTGCTTCGCCGTTTGACACTGTTCTGAAATTTGAATAATGCTGATCTGGTCTGAACTAAAATAATGCTGATCTGATCAAAGATTAGGGGTTGTTTATAGGAGGGGGCACGGTTTAATATATTCATCTGGAAATACTGCTGATCTTGTATACGCAAATTGTATTTTTGTGATGACTGAAACTTTCCTATGCAAAGGTTGCGGAGGCAGTCCCTTCCTTGTTCGAAAGTTGAAAACTATTTGATCGGGCTCAACTAATGTCTAAGTCCAGTATAGGATAAAACGGTAGAAAGGATCGGCCAGTTTAATTGCGTCACCTGCAGCAATGATACCGTTCTGTTAGAGTTAAATATGCAGATCAGGTCATCCGTACTGTCAACTTTCGATAATTTCATCAGTATATCGGTTCATAAGGGGATATTTCATTGCAAAATAATGCCTGTACCTTCGCCTTTCGTCAGTTAAGTCAATATTGTTACGATTCATAGAGACAGTTGTTCTAATGAATATTCTTTAAAAGAGAGTCGAATAGCAAGATGTTAGATAATACAATATTTATTTAAAATATATCGATACCGAATTGAAACGGCGAAAACTACAGTGTAAAAGATAAATAATTCAGTGCTTTACGGTGATGCTGCGGTGTTATAAGACAGATGAAAATCCTACACTAGGAATTACCACAGTGTTGCACTGCCCCCTTGCTTTTAGTTGCTTAGGGGGACCATTTAAGCAGTCCACGGCTCCATGGTATTTAGGCGTCTGCAGTGCTTGTTACGCAAGACCGCGTCTCTTAATTGGATTGAACAATTAATTGGTTGGCAAAAAAGCGAAAATATAAGCCTGATGTTCTGGGTTAGACTTTGTGAGTGGAATTTTCGATACCACCGTCGATACATAATAATTAAAATACATCGATACCGGATTGAAATGGCGACAACGTACAGTGTGAACAAAGAAAAATTCATTTCTTGCTTTACACCTGGTATTACTTATTGTGTATTTACTAGGTAATACTCTTATAATTTCCTTCCTTTTATAGGTCATGAGTATGCAGCATGAGTATATAGCAGTTATTATGGTGTTGCAGTATATAGCACAGGCAGTAATATTTTGCTCCATATGCCACCCTTTATATCACCT